TTGTTTTGAGACCAAGTCTCACTCTGTCACCCAGGCTGGAGTGCAGTGGTGTAATCTCAGCTCACCGCAACCTCCTCCTTCCAGGTTCAAGCGGTTCTCCTGCCTCAGCCTCCCGAGTCGGTGAGATTATAGGTGCCCACCATGGTACCCAGCTAATTTTTGTATTTTTAGTGGAGAGGGGGGTTTCACCGTGTTGGCCAGGCTGGTCTCGAACTCCTGACCTCAAGTGATCCTCCCACCCTGGCCTCCCAAAGTGCTGGGATTACAGGCGTGAGCCACTGTGCCTGGCCAGAAGTTATACACTTTTCTAAGGTTCATTTTGTTAAATGAAGAAATGCCAAACAGAACGATCGAAGCTATGGTAGAGCGTGCGTGTTTGTGTGCACCAGAGGACACTTTCGCCAGAAAATGCCACGCAACAGAGTGGAAGATATGCCGAAAGTCGCAGCAAACATCGCGCGTGACTCTGTAGGAAATGATGGATTCCCAACAAACACTGAGAGCGTGGCCTGTGCTGTGAAGTCCGGGAATGGGCCGCAAGTTCAAGGCTGTGTGAGGAACACCGGAAACCCACCTATGAGGCCCTGGTCACCCAGCACCTGTCAGGTTGGGCTTAAATAAAACTTTACAGGTCAGTCCCACAACCTCCATGAGCCTGGACTTGTCCACCTTACAATGTGGACGGTTAGGATGCCTGCTGAAGAGGCCGCCAGGCTTAACTGTGCCAACGCGGCATGCAGGTGGAGAATGCGCTCGAAAACCTTGTAATGATGACAAGAGCCGTTCCCTTTCTGCGCCATCACCCTGCACCCGGCGCGCACCAGTCGCCCACCACAGCAGGCCCAGGGCCAGCACCCAGATCCCCGCTTGACCCAGGAGGACACTGAGATGCAGCAACAGCCAGGACACTAGCTGCCAGGTGGAAAGTGACCAAAGACACAAAGTGACCAGATCGGGAGTCTCCTGGGGGCAGGCCCGTGAGGCGCCGCTCGGCACCTTCAAAACACAGGCGGAGAACAGCCTTTCCCAAAGCGCGCTCACTCACAGACCCCGTGTCTTCATCTGCAGAGCCTGGGTGATGTGGGAGGCCCTGCAATGTCCCTCTGAGAGACCTCCACTCACGCCAGCACTTTCAATGCGCTGGGACCGACCTGAACCATGACGTTTAGGTTTCATTTTGAAACACTTTTACAGAAGAGTACGCTGGCGCCCCACCGGGAATTTCTACTGGCAGACGCTCACCGCAGGAAGCAGCCGCGTGGCGCTCCCCTTTGTCTGCCTGTGCCCAGCGCTGTCCCTCCAGCAGAGCTCCTCAGGTGTGGTTCGTGGATTGGGCCCATGATGAGAGAAGGAGCCACACAGAGGGAAATCAGCTCCGCCGCTGAGCAGGCAGTCCAGCCCCCTGACACCCTCTGCAAGTAAGACTTTGGGGACGAAGGCGACACAGGGCTTGTCAGTCCCCAGAGCAGCCTGGGGCTACGGCACTGCGCTTCCCTCTTGAACTGGGGGGACCCCTGCCTGCCAGGGGGCCTGATCTGTGAGCCCTGACAACGCCGTGTCTCCTGGCTCTCAGGACTCTCCTTTGCTCTGGCCAGAGGGACGCAGTGCCACACTCAAGGTTCAAGCTGGCAGCGCCGTGGAGCGAGTCTCCAGGCTGAAGATACACTGTCTGATCTCCTGCACTGGATGGAGCTGCCTGGAGCCCCGTGGCATCCGGCTGAAGTCTGAATCTGCACGTGGCCACAAGGCAGCCATGAGCCACGTGGAGCTAATGAACACCGAAAATGTGGCCAGGCCCAACCCAGGGGCTGTGAGTATACCGTGCACCCTGGGTAAGACGTAGTACCAAAACCGGAAAAGGAAGTACAATGCCTCTCACTTTTTACGTGTTGAAATAGTAATATTGTGATATATTGGATTAACTAAGCTATAGTATTAACATACGCTTTGCCTGTTTCTGTTCAACTTTTTCATGTGGCTACTGAAATAAAGTTGCCTATGTGGCCGGGCGTAGTGGCTCACACCTGGAATCCCAGCACTTTGGGAGGCCAAGGTGAGAGGATTGGATGAGCCCAGGAGTTTGAGAACAACGTGCGCAGCAAACTGGGACCGTGTCTCTACAAAAATAAGAACAACATTAACCGGGTGAGGTGGTGTGCACCTGTAGTCCCAGCTGGTGGGGAGTCTAAGGCAGGAGGATCACCTGAGCCTGGGAAATCGAGGCTGCAGTGAGCTCTGATTGTACCACTGCACTCCAGCCTGGGTGACACAGCGAGACTCTGTCTCAAAATAAATTTTTTTAATTAAAAAAAAATAACATATTGAGGTGAGGATCACAGAACCTAAAATTAACCACTTTAAAGCGCACGTTAGGCCCGGGCACAGTGGCTCAGTGCTGCTCATCTCAGCACGCTGGGAGGCCGGGGCGGGCAGATCACTTGAGGTCAGGAATTTGAAACCAGCCTGGCCAACGTGGTGAAATCCCATCTCTACTAAAATTACAAAAAAATTAGCCAGGCGTGGTGGTGGGTGCCTGTAATCACAGTTACTCGGGAGGCTGAGGCCGGAGAATTACTTGAGCATGGAGGCGGAGGTTGCAGTGAGCTGAGATCACACCACCGCACTCCAGCCTGAATGACAGAGTGAGATTGTCTCAAAAAAAAAGTGTCCACATTATTGGCATTTAGTGCGTTCGGAGCAGTGTGCACTCGCCGCCTCTCCCTGGGTCCAGAACATCCTTGTCACCCCAAGGTAAACCCCACAGTAAAACAGACCTTTGGCAGCCACTCCTCCTGCCTCCCCCTCCTGGCTCTGGGAGCCACCAGTCTGCTTTCCGTCTCCATGGGCTCAAGTACCAAGGGCACTTCACAGAAATGGAGTCAGGCCATCTGCGGCTGGCGTCTTTCCCCGAGCGCGGGGCTTCCACGGCTTTTCTGCCCGTGGGCGTCGGCGCCTCCTTCTTCTCCGCGGCCGAGTAATAACCACTGCGCGCTCACAGGGCTCCCCGGGGAAGTGGAGCCCATCGGACATGCGGCTGGCGAGCAGATGTTACTGCAGGCACTCGCCACGCGACAGTGAGGCCCACGGTCCCGGCATCTGCGGCGGCAGGTAGGAAGTTTGACGGCATTGGAGCCGAAGGCTGCCGGGCTCCAGGCCCAAGGAGAGCGCACGTTTCAGTCCAAGTCCGAAGGCAGGAGGAGACCCACGTCCAGCGCGAGTGGCCGGGTGGGGGGACCACTCGCACTTGGCCTGTTGTTCTGCCCAGGCCGCAGTGGACCACATGGCGCCCACCTACATTGGGGAGGACAATCTGCCTTCCACAGGCCGTGGATGCAAATGCAAACCTCATCCAGAACACCTGGGAGCCACACTCTGGCCAGATGACCCGGCCAAGCTGACCTGAGGTCACCGTCACAGCGGACGCCATGTTGTGCGGACCCGTCGTTGGCAGTGGACGCTCGGGCCATCCACGGCTATCCCGAGTGGTGCTGGGAGAGCAGGTGGCCACGCGCGTTTGTTTTGAGTCCGTTTTCAGTTCTTTTGGGCAGCCCTCCAGGAGTGGAATTTCAGAGCGCGGGGAGTGTTCTGTGAGGACTCAGGCTGGGTCCAACCCCTTGGAAGACGAGCGTCAGGCCGCTCACTGCAGATCCACAGTGCCACCCCAGTCCTGGTGCCCAGCACTGCCTCGCCGACGCAGCCCCAGCCATAGCGGAGGCCTTGGGCTCACATGCTTCCTTGAAGAGGCTGGGCCCAGGGCGGGCAGTGCTTTGCAATCCAGACAGGGTCTCAGACTTCCCACGGTTCTGGTCTGAAGCCGCTGGCCTGCCCTGAAGGTGTGGGGCCGGGCGGAGGCCCAGGCAGCAGGGAGAAAAGGGGCCCACACTGTGCAGGGCGAACAGCTCGACTCAGGGTGGGGCTCCAGGATGGTGCTGCCTCTGCAGCACTCAGCCAGGCCCTGGGATCACAGATCTCTCTGGACTCCACCATGCCCATGCTGCCCTGCTCGGAGGGCTGAGTCCGCCCCGTGGTCTGCGGCCTGCAGAGGGGCTTCCACTGCCTCAAGGCCCTCCCTGCATGCCCTACCGCTGCAGGGCTCCCTGAGGGTCTGTCCCCAGGATGGCTGGGTGGGGCCTTCACCCCTCTGAGGCCAAGAGGAGCAGAAGAGCCCCGAGCTGCCAGGAGGGCCAGAACCACGCATGGGTGTCCTGGGAGCCCGGTCACCCCAGACAGGAGCCCCCCTCCCACAGGGCTACTCACCGCTGTGTCTCCATCTCCCTACAAGAGCCTGGCCCAGGCAGGCTGCAGGCACCATGGAGCCCCAGAGATGGCCTGGCCCCCGCACCCCTCTGGGCGGGGACTGGGTGGCCTTGTGGTCACTCTCCATGCAGAGACGGCCCACAACTCCTGGCTCCCTCGAGCATGGCAGCCCGCCCTCTCGCCCACCTGCCCTCCCTCCCAGAGGCCACGCAGAGGGCAGTGGAAGCGGACCACCATCAGTATCATTTTTATTGCAAATCAGTTAACAAAAAAGATGAAAAAAATATGTCATCTACAGTTTTGCATGTAGATCACTTTTTAAAAAGTTGTCTTTTTCTGTAAACTACACTCTATCTTACAAAACACAGTGAGAATCAACATCTTGGGACCTGTCTGGTCATGCCCCCCGGGGATGGCACAGCTTGGCACCCACAGAGCCAGGGAAACTGCCCTGAGGAGCGCAGGCAGCGGAGGCTCCCCCAGCAAGCCGGACCTGACGTCCCTCATCAGCATGACACACGACAGACTCATTCATTGAGATTTTTTAAACAAAATCCACCTTTAAAAACATATTTACAGACGTTTCTTCTGCCATAGGCTATACTTGGTATCGCAAGAATCTGCTCCTCCCAAACTAGGAGGGGTGGCCTGAGGGCAGCCCCCCGCCTCCCTCCAGCCCCCGCCCGACCACGCGCCCCCACAGCTGCCAGGGCCGTGGGGAGAGGACTGAGGGACACAGCCCATGGCATTCCACAGCTCGATGCGGCTGGCTCTGGCAGGTCTCCTACGAAACACGAGAGCCCACGCGGAGTCGGGTCCCACAAGCCGGGACCCAGGCTGAGCCGGCGCGTCGGCCTCAGGGCCTGGGGGACGCTGTTCGGGCTGAGATGCTGGGGCCGCCGCCGGGGTCAGCCCAGGCAGTGTCTTTCCCCAGAAAGGGGCAGGATTCCTCCGTGTGTGACCCAGGCGAGTGCCACGGTCCACACACCTCATGTCTCACATGGACGATGCCCAAATTTCAAGAATGGGCCAGGGGCCAGGGTGGTTCTGGAGAGACCAAGAACCTGCCAGAACAACGAACTACGACGTCAGACTGAGCCCGAAACGAAGACTCACGACCGGTACCGTGGCTGTGCTCCCGCCATACGGATTCCAAGAACACATTTTCGAAATCACGCTTGCAAAACCTCCTTTAAAAACAACACTGAAACAGCTAAACCATATCCTTTTCCTCGTTTCCTATTTCAGATGCAAGCTGATCCACATGCCGAAGGTGTAGGTTCTGCCTCAGTTCAGCTCTGGGAGCAGCTCCTCACAAACACAGAAGATGCTGTCGCAGCGGCCTGGGCTCGGGGTTGGTGGGCATCGGGGAGAGGGCACAGCCCGGACACCCAGGAGCTTTCTGGACCACCTCGTGCAACTTCCCTTCTCCAACATCACTTCTTTTTGGATTTTGAAAAAATGAATCAATAAATAAATGGCATTTATAAATCATGAATCTTTGTTTATATTTTATAAACACAGAAGAATCTTTTTATCCTGCGTAGGAAAATCCTGGCTCTCAGGACTTGCTTGTTTTCTTAGAACAGATAAAAGTTTCTACCTGGAGCCAGATAAAACAGTACATATAAATAAAAAGGCAGTGTTCCTGTGTAAAATAAAAGTACATAAATAAATACCAAAAAAAAATTAAAATCCTTTTTCTTATTTTGTATAAAAACATGTGTTTTAAAAAACGCTCCTCTGGTCGGCCCCAGCGTCCACAGAGCGCGCACCGACGCCAGCCGGGCTTGGGAACGGAAGCCGGGTCCCGTGGGGCCCGCGGTTTACTTGAAGGCCTCCGGAATGCGGGCAATCTGGGACTGCATGCTGGTGGGCGGGCTGGAGACGCCCTCGGACCAGTCAGAGACGTTGGAATGTGGGGACGAGCTGGACCACGGGTCGGGGGACTCGGGAGACGGGGTGAGGAAGGGGTGCTCGGGCACCTGCAGCTGGTGGCTGGGGGTGTTGTCCACGGGGGAGGAGGAGTAGCTGTGCTGCGAGGGGGGCGTCAGGAACTGGGCCGCGGTCACGGGTGGGACCAGCGAGGACGGCAGCGACGTGGGCAGGGCGGGGCTCTCCTGGGGCAGGATGGTGTGCGCTGCCAGGCCACTGGGGCCCAGTGGCTGCACGTCCGCCTGGCTGGGCTCTCCGCTCAGGAAGCTCCGCCCCAGGTGGCCGCTGGCTGAGGAGCTCACGCTGAGGTGCGGCTGTGGTGGCAGCGGTGGCTGCAGGCTTTGCTGCTGCTGGATGTTTGGTGGCTGCAGGTTCTGTGGCTGCATCTGTAAGTTCTGGGGCTGCACCAGGTGAGGCTGGGTGGCCAGCCGGGTGCCGGGCAGGCCCTGGTAGCTCATCATCTGGGGCAGAGCGCTGGCAGCAAGGCCGCCATGCAGAGGGCCCACCATGCTGTGCTGCAGGGAGGGGGCCTGCGAGCCCAGGGGGCCCGGGGCCACGCCCCCCCCGCAGGGGGTTGTACTGGTTCGGCACCAAGCCGCTCTGCAGCCGGGACAGCCACTCACACTGACCATTCAAACTGGTGGACCCGCCCACAGTGAAATTCACAGCCCCTCCGCTGCTGGAGCCCAGGACGGTGCTGGTGCCGGACGCCACGGGCAGATGGGAGAGACGTGGGGGGCCGGCTTCAAAGGCCAGCCGGCCGCCCCCACCCAGCGCCGCTATCTCGGGCTTGGCTGCCACGTTCAGGTGCCCGATGCCCAGGTGGGTGTCAGGCATGCCGGGGAGGTGGGTGAGGGGCACGGATGGAGGCTGCTGGAATGGGGAGGGCAGCAGCGGCGGCGAGGCCACGTCCGACAGGTAGCCGTGGGGGGACTCCAGGGAGTCCACGGGTGAAAGCATGCCGGAGCTGTCCAGCAGGCAGCCCTTGCCGTCCTGGGACTTCTTCCTCCGCGCCTTGAGGTCCTTGGTCTCCTTGCCGCCGCAGGCCAGGCCTTTGCTGCTGGGCTTTCGGACCTTCTTGCCCTGCACACCAGGCTTGAGGCTGCCCAGGTAGCCGTTGGGCGAGCACAGCGTGGGCGACAGGGTGGGCGTGCCCCCCAGCGGGGCCCCGTGCAGCTGCGGGCTGCGCACCAGGTTGTACTCGTCCAGCAGTCTCACGATGTCGTGGTGCATACGCTCCTGCGCGATGTCCCGCGGCAGGCGGTCCATGTGGTCCGTGATGTCCCGGTTGGCAAAGTGGCCCAGCAGCACCTTGGCGGTCTCATAGCTGCCCTCCCGGGCGGCCAGGAACAGGGGCGTCTCCTCCTGGGGGGCGAGGGTGGGGCCGGTGAGGGGAGCCGGGCCTGGCATGTGGACCCTCCCCGAGGCTCCATCACCAGAGGGAGCAGCAGCACACCCTCCTCCTCGGGGACAAGCGGGGGAGGAGGGGTGGTGCAGGACGTCCCTCGGGACCCCGGCCCCGCATCCAGCAATCAGCTGGCCTGACTCTTGTTAAACGTGAAGGCTTCAATACGACTTCTGAAACCCACCCAGAGGGGGTCTGTGCAGTCCTCTACCATATCAGCAGGGCCCCACCTTTATGTGGGGGCCACAGACCCCACTGAAAATCTAACCAACTGCAGCCCCTCTTCCCTGCTCCCAACAAGGCACAGAAAGAAATACCTGCACCAGCGAGGGTACCAGGGAGGGAGCTCGTCATCTGGACGGCCACCAAGCCCCTTCCTAGGGTCCCCTCTGTGTGGTGGACACGCCACAGGTGTGGGTGAAGCTGCTTCAAGGGGGTGGGAAAGGGCTTCCCAGCCCTTGGTGCCCCGTGGGGCCCGGTCTCCGTGGCAGCACCGGGGATTGCCTGGGCCAACATGCCTGGATGCCCAGGCCCGCCGTGTGCCCTCGCCCAGGAGGGAGAGACAGCTTAGCCTGACATGCTGAGGGGGCAGCTGGAGTTGGGGGTGGAGGTGGGGCTTCGGGCGGCAGGGAGATGGGGGCATCTGCACCTGTGCCCTGAACGCCCCTGGCACCCAACAGTAGCTGCTCGGGTCAGATACTCGCCCAGGAACTGCAGGGCCAGGATGAGGGCTGGGGGTGGCTCCACTCAGAGGAAGGGCTGCTCACATTCACCCCAAGAGGCCCCGCCCTGCGGGGAGCTGCTGCCACGAGTGGTGACACTACCTGGGTCACCCGTTCCCATCCTCACCCCCACCTGGTAACAGCTGGGGACAGAAGGTGAGGTCCAGGTGACGGTGACAGAACAATGACAGGGGCTCCATTCCCTATGCCAGGCTGTGTGACCCACCGTGACTGCAGCCCAGGAGGACAGGGCTGGGTCGACCGGGTGACGGCCGTGTCCTGACAGTGGACCTGCACTTGGGAGGGCTCCGTAAACAGGGGCTGAAGGAGGGGATGGGCGCTAAGGAGGTGCTGGCACCATGTGGGCGGGGCCTGTTCTCGGGCCCAGGAGTCCTTGAGACCCCGTGGCTCAGGCCCTTGCCTCCCTGTGCCCCGTGGGTTTGGCGCTCACTTCCCCGAGTTGCTCAGGCCCTTGCCTCCCTGTGCCCCATGGGTTTGGCGCTCACTTCCCTGAGTTCTGTGGGTTCAGACCTCTTGTCCCCCGTCATGTCCTGGTCTCGCGCTCACCTTGTTGTTCTGCATGTCCTTGTTCGCCCCGTTCTTCAGGAGCACCACTGCGGCGTCCACATTGTTCACGGCGGCGGCCCAGTGCAGGGCAGACTTGCCTGCGTGAAGGAAGCAGATGGGGTAGGTTGGAGACCAGCGAGCGGCAGCCCGGTCCGACCCTCCCTGTGGCAGCCCTGCCCCGCAGCAGCACAGGCCTGCCCCCGAGGGCTTACCCAGGTCATCCACGGCGTTGACGTCGGCATGCGAGTTGATGAGGTCCTCCAGCATGCCCTCCACGGCCAAGCGGGCAGCCAGGATCAGCGGGGTCGTGCCATCGTGCATACGGGCGTCCAGGTCTGTGGCTCGGTTCCGGATCAGGATCTGGGCCATAGGGAGAGGCTCAGGTGGGTGCCGGGCAGACAGCAACGATGCCTCCTGCCCAGAACATACGCCTGGACGGGAGGCCCCACTGCCCTCCGGACACAGACAAGACCCTCCTGAGATCTGCATGGCCGGGCAAGACGGGATGCCATGGGCTGCCCCTGAAGAGGGGCCAGGCGGGGGTAGGGGCTGTGCTGCTCCCTCTGGTGACAGTGGGGCCCATCGTGACCTCGTGTGGCCTCATCTAATCCTCACCGTGGTCCTAGCTGCCATGACCATCTCCAAAATAGAGAGGTCAAGTCCCTGCCTCCAAGAGGGAGCACTCATGAAGCCTGGCACACGGCCCTACAGCCGACTTAGAGGGGTGGGCAGCCCTTCAGTGCAGCCTGGCCTGGGCCTCCAGCGGGAAGGACGGGCCCTGGTCACTGGTGGGTAGAAAAGGCAGGGCCACTCGCCATGCAGCACGGGCCTGATTCCTGCAAAGCACCTGGGAACTTCTACATCTGTGCAAAGGTGCCGGGAGACGCACAGACCAGGCCTGCACGGGGCTCCCCTCGACACCCCTTCCGCTCACCTATGTTCATTTCTGCGGGACGACAATGTGTCCCGAGCTAAGAAATCATAAAACCACAGGGTGTGTGGTGACCGCCGTGGGCTGTGCCCATCCGAACCTGCGCCAGGGCTGCCTAGAGCCTGCGGGCCTGCAGCAGGGGTGACTGCAAAAGCAGTCCCTGCCAGGGAGGTTCCCTGGAGACCCAGGCTTCCAAATCCCTAACTCCGTTTTTGCCACGAGCTCGCCGGCAAGCTGAGCCCCAGGTCTGCAGGCACCGAGAGGCAGCCTCTAAGCCCTTCTCACTGCCGCAGGCTTCCCGGCAGCCAGGGCTGAGGCGGGGGCGGGGTCGCGAGAGGCTGTGGGGGGGACCTGGACCTTGAGCAAGGCCCACAACTCTGCCGGAGCCTGCCTTGCTGGGGGTGGGGAGGCCCTGCCTCACTCAGCAGGTCCCCCCGGCCACCTTCGGGACCCACCTCTACCTGGCTTCCCTGGGGGATGCAGATGGGCCTGACGCCCTCCCCCTTGAACGTCGCTGACTGCAAAGGTCCCGGGTGGAGGCACTAGCTGTTCCAGCCTCAGCTGTGCTCGAGGTCAGGCTCCCAGGGCCATGCAAGCCTGGCCACTGCCCGGGCCCAGCCGTTGGCCCGAGGAGGGCAGGTGGGCACCTAGACAGCCACTGCTTACCTGGAAGACGCCTTGGGCGTCGGCAGACACGGCCGCGTGCAGCGGAGTGCGGCCCATGTTGTCCTGGATGTTAGCGTCCGCGCTGGCCTCCAGTAGGCGCTTGGCGGCGTCAGAGCGTGAGTAGCGGGCGGCCAGGTGCAGGGCAGTCTCGCCCGTGCGGTCCGTCTGGTTGTGCAGGCTGGCGCCCTGGTAGATGAAGTCGGAGATGACAGCTGGCGCGTCCTCCTCCTCCTCACTGTTGCCCGTCTCCAGGCCGCCGCCGCTGCAGGAGGCGATCATGAGCGGGGTGAAGCCGTCTGCAGGGGCAGAGGAGACGGGAGTTCAGTCTGGAGGGCCGGTGCCCAGCTGCAGCCCGGGGGCAGGGGGACAGCAGCCCCGAGCCGGAGGGGCCACAGCGTGGACCCACCGCCCAGCGCTCAGGGACCCTGCGCACACAGCCACTGGGGGGCAGCTGAAGTCCGCCTCGGCTGCTCGGTGGACAGAGCCGAAGCCAGCAGTCAGCTCCAGGCAGGCAACGACACCCTGGCAGCTTCGCTTCCTGACCTGCCCAAGACCCGGCACCCAAAACCCACCCAGGAAAAAACAACGCCAGAAACATGCAGTTAGAAAATCAACACTTTGGCCAGGTGCGGCGGCTCACACTGTAATCCTAGCACTGTGGGAGGCCCAGGTGGGCGGGAGCTCGAGACCAGCCTGACCAGTATGGTAAAACCGCATCTCTACTAAAAATACACAAATTAGCCGGGCGTGGTGGTGGGTGCCTGTAGTCCCAGCTACTTGGGAGGCTGAGGCAGAAGAATCGCTTAAACCCGGGAGGTAGAGGTTGCAGTGAGCCAAGATTGTACCACTGCACTCCAGCCGGGGTGACAAGAGCAAGATTCTGTCTCAAAACAAAACAAAACAAAAAACAAAGAAAGAAAATCAATGTTTTCCATGTCTCCAGAAGAAGGTTTCAGAAGAGATTAATTTACAGGTGCAGAGTGAGCCTGCGGCAACACCCAGGAGGGCACTGCTGGGAGAACAGGACGACTCCGGGACCCCCCATCCACTCTGAACGGGAAACGCCCCAAGGATGAAAGCTCTTGCCCCCACCTCTAAATTTGCAGAGTATCAGCTGTACCACAGCCTTGGGGCTTAGGGGAGAGGGAGGTGGGCCGTGGGGCTGGGGAAGTCCTGGCCACTGGCATCCCTACCAGGCCCTCGGACGTTGACATCCATGCAGTCGACATCGACCTCGCCCTGGGGCGGCGTGGGGGCCATGGCCGACATGCGCAGGTCAGCGGCATCCAGGTGCTGCTGGGTCCACTGCCGGTGGTCTGTCTGGTCGTCCAGGTCAGGCAGAACCACGGGTTCCTCGAACTAAGTTGGGGGAGTGAGCAGAGCCATGTCAGGGCAGCCGGTGGCAGGAGCCTGGGGGCCCAGGAGCCCAGCGACTCACCCGGAACTTCTTGGTCTCCAGGTCCTCGTCCCCCCACTCATTCTGGTTGTCATCCATGAGGGCACCGTCTGAGGCGTTCTTCAGGGGCCTGGGGGTGAAGGGTCAGGAAGTGAGACTGAGCCAGCTCCCTAGGAAGCCCCCAGAGGCCCCTGGACCAGGCCTGGCATGGGAGGTGGGCCCTGGGTCGGGAGGGGCAGACCTCCAGTGAGGATGCCCGGCCAGGTCCCGCCTCCCCGACCCCCAGAAGCGTCCGCTCACTTGAGGCCCACGGAGTCCTCGCCAAGGGGCTCCCGCCGCTTCTTCTTGCTGGCCTCGGACACCTTGAAGCCCTCGGGGAACCAGAGCTGGCCATGTTGCCTCCGGCGCTTGCGGGACAGCAGCACCCCGCAGCCCACGAAGAAGAGGAGCACAAAGGCGGCTGCCGCCACGTACATGAAGTGCAGCTGCGCCGGCGGGGGCGGCTCCACGGTCTCACCTGCGGACACAGGGGACGCGGGCAGGCGCCCGGACATCAGGTGGCGGCTACGCAGCAGGCTGGCGGCCGAGGGGCAGCGCACTGGCTCCGCGGCCAGGCGCCTCCTCACCCACTCTCCTCCATCCCGCCCCCCAAAATAAGGTCATTTTCTACGCGATTAATCAGAATTGCAAACTATCGCTAAATTCTCTCCTGCAGCAGCCGACTCTATCTGGAGACGGCTTTTACTTTTTTCTCCTTTAAGGAAGGAGGATTAGTCAACTTCAAATCGCAGCACTCGCATTGAGCTGTTAAGACAAAGGATTTAGGGGGATTTTCAAGATACAAACTTCAACACTTCACATGACACCGATCAATTCTTCTCTCTCTCTCTTTTTTTTCTTTAAAAAGAGCCGTAATGATTTTGAAATAATACCCAACAAAGAATAATCGGGGGAAGGGGTGGGGAGAGAAGCAGGCACCCGCTTTCCCGTGGATGGGCTCCTTCCCGAGTGGCTTCACCGGCAGCTGTCACCGCCACAGGTCGGGGCGTAGTGCCATTCAGAAAATTCCAGAAAAGCGCTACCATCTTGGATGGTGACGCGCACACCCATGGGTGGCAACTGGCACAAAGAGCCAGCATGTTTGGGCCATGGGGGGGGTCGCATCCCCTGCAGGCGGAGCCTGTTCCCTGCGGTGCAGGGCTGGGGGCAAGGGCGGGGGCCATACTCACTCTGCACGGCCTCGATCTTGTAGGGGATGTTGAGGCTGCCCAGGGAGGCAAGCGCCCCCAGGAACGCGGCCACGTCGGTGGCGCTCTGGAAGCACTGCGAGGAGGCCTGCACACACTGCCGGTTGTCAATCTCCAGGTAGACGATGGAGCTGGGGGGACAACCGGGCAGGGGCTGGGACCCGAGGCTTCCTCCTCCCCAGCCCGCCGGCCCAGGATGATGCCCCCAGGACACCGAGGCCCATGATGCAACAGTCAGGACATGGCGGGGCAGCCGGGGCAGTGGGAAGCCAGGTCTGACAGCGGCTACTCCGGAGGAGACCAGTGCCGATCGCAGCTCATCCCTGATAACTGCCAACACTCTCTCCCGGCCCCACCCTGCCACCCTCTCTGGCTCCCGTTGGTGCCGTAAACACATTTCTCATCTCGGGACAGAGAATGTGCCAGGAGCCCAGTTCTCCCCCAGGAGCCATCCCCAGGCCCTGCAGGAAGCGCAGCTGTGCAGTGGGGGTGGGCGCAGCGGTGGTGGGCTGTGCGGTGAAGGGAGCTGGGGGTGATCCCTGCTCCCCGGCGGGGCTCCTGCAGCCCAAGGCTGGGTTCCTATGAGCAGGATCCCAACCAGCCTCTGAGATGATGCTTCTGGCCTCCAGGGCTGCCCCAAGGCAGCAGAACTAATGGGCAAACCCGCCAGGGTCAGGCACACCAGGGGCACAACTGACCTGGCCCCGGGTCCATCTGCCCCAGATGGAGTAGGTGGGGGCAGGAGCTTTGTGGGTGCCCCCTGCACTCAAGCTGCCCCGCCTGTGTTCTCCTGCTGTGGGCCCCCTTCCCCACCAGCTCCTCCTCTGTCTATAAGGCCCCTCCAGGACCTCTACCTGCCTCTTCTCCAGCCCAAGCCAGGCAGACACCATGCCGAGTGGCATTCTCGTCTGGGGCGGGTCTGTTCAGCCCTGTGGGAGCCCCCGGAGGGCTGAGCTTTTTGTTTTTAATTTCTTTTAATACTTTTTAAAGAAAGCAGAGACAGGGTCTCCCTGTGTTGCCCAGGCTGGTCTTGAATTCCTGGGCTCAAGGGCTCCTCCTGCCTCAGCCTCCAGAAGTGCTGGGATTACAGGCATGACCCTCCTCACCTGGCAGAAAACTGTGTTTTAATCAGTGTGGTTCCCAGTGTCTGGGGCACAGCTCAATCTCGAAATCACCTACTGGGCACAGGAGTGCCACCTGCACAGCCTGGGGAAGGCAATGGCCTGGGAAGGGGTGTGGCCGTGGGGTCAGGGTCCTGAGCTGGAATGCTGCCTCTGCTCCTTGCCCATGTGGGCCCTGAAGTCCCAGGTCCTCTCGGAACCTCCGTCTCTTTTACCGTAAGTGGAAAGAGTACTGCTGGCGCTGGCACCGGCCACAAGGGGCAGGGGGGCCATGGGGGAGAGCCCAGGTGAAATGTGGGGACTGATGGCGGGTGCGGGGCCTCACTCACCCACGGATGTCCATGGGGTCCAGCTCCCTCCGCCGCCGCCCGCCCCCGCCGCCACCAGAGAGCAGCGAGGCCTTCACCTGGCCCAGCAGGGAGCCGGGCGTGGCCCAGCCCTCGGCGGCGCGCTTGATGGGGTGCTTGCGCAGCTCCTCCTCGCGGCCGTAGTAGGGGAAGATCATCTGCTGGCCGTTTGCGTCGCGCTTGAAGACCACGTTGGTGTGCAGCACGCGGCTGAGCTCGCGCAGGAAGTGGAAGGAGCTGTTGCGCAGCTGCTCCGGCGGCATGAGCACGACCACCACCAGCGTGCCGGCCGCCAGCCTCTCGGGCACGTGCTCCGCGCAGTCCAGCCCGTCCCACTCGCACTCTGCGCTGTTGCAGCCCTGGTCACAGTGCCCGTCGCTGAAGTGGTCCTTGCAGTACTGGTCGTACAGGGGGCTGCGGGGGGTGGGACACGCTCAGGCCGCCTTCCCCGGGGGGCCTCGCACCCGACCCCCACCGTCCCAGCGCCTCCAGCACACGCCTCGAGGGACGTCCCTGCCCCCGCCGGACAGAGCTTTGGGGGCCGCATGCTGGCCTCCGGGCTCCGGGTCCTCCCTCGCCCCCGGGACGGCCCGCCCCGCAGCCGTACTTGCACTGGCCTTCCGCGCGCTGGCAGTCGAAGCCGTCGAAGAGGCAGCCAGCCGAGTTGCACTGGCTGTCACAGCGGCCGTCGCTGAAGTACTTCCAGCACTGCAGAGACTGCGTGCAGTTCTTCCAGGGGTCGTTGAAGTTGAGGGAGCAGTCGCCGCCGTCCCAGCCGCACGCGTGGCTGTTGCACTGCACGCTGCAGGCCTTATTGCCCGCGTCCTCCCGGCACTCCGGCAGCTCGCACGCCTCCTCGATCTGCGGCGGGGGGATGTCGCGCCCGGCCCCGCCCCCGAAGCTGTAGTCCAGGATGTGGCACAGGAGCCCGTTGAATTTGGCGGGGCACAGGCAGCGGTAGAAGGGGCTCTCGGACGTGGGCTCACAGGTGCCCTGGTTGTAGCAGGGGTTGCCACCCAGGCAGGGGCTGCTGGTGGGAAACTGGCACTCGGGGCCCGTGAAGGGGCCCAGGCACAGGCAGGTGGCGCTGCGCGGGCCGGAGATGCAGGTGCCGCCATTGAGGCAGCGCAGGCTGCCACACGCACGTGCGTCGTTCTCACACGTGGCGCCCTCGAAGCCCTGCCCAAGAGGGAAGACGGGACAGTGTCAGGGTGGACCACCCCTCGCCACCTCGAGCCCAGCCCCCGGCCAGCAGTGCCACCGCTCTCCCCTGACCTGGGAGGCAGCCTGCAGCCTCGCCCCCAGCAGCAAAACCCTTTACAAAACATTCTGTAGATGGAGAAAGATTAGGGGGCTCCAGGGGTCAGGAGATGGAGGAAAAAGTAAATTGGTGGAACGCTGGGGACTTTAGGGTGGGGACTCTCTGCCCCCATCCTGCGAGGATGGGAACGCATGTCATACCTCAAACCCACAACCACAAAGCCAAGGGCAAGCCCCAGGTAAAGAAAGGGCTGGCGCTGGTAACAGCATGTAAGTGCTGTGGCTCCCAAGTGAAACTGACGTGAAGCTGGTGCAAGCTGCTAACTAGGGGGGCGCATGCCGGGGGGCCGCGTGCAGGGGGGGCGCCCCAGGGACTCCACCCTCTGCTCCATGTTTCTACAAACCTAAAATGCCTCTAAAACTCATTTATTGAAACTAAAAAATGACACCGGGGTGACATGGCTGCTCCACCTGCGCCCTGAGGCCCACATCTGGACCTCTCCAGGTGCCTCCCGGGAGGGCCCCCACCCCCATGCACCCTGGCACCTACCGAAGGGCACTTGCAGATGAACCCGCGGGCGGTGTTGGAGGCCACGGCGCAGGTCCCCCCGTTCTTGCAGGGTTTGCCCTTGCAGCCATTGATGACTGACTCACAGCGGCGCCCTGTGGGGGAGAGCGGGGCAGTGAGACGCTCACCCTGCTGCCCTGTGGGCCCCACCCGCCCGGGCACGGCACCCACCGGTGTGACCCGCACGGCACTCGCAGTGGAAGTCGTTGATGCGCTGCACGCAGTTCTGGGTGCCGCGGGCGTCGCAGGGATTGGAGAGGCACTCGTTGACGTCCCCCTCACAACGCTCACCCACGAAGCCCGGCGGGCAGGTGCAGCTGTAGCCGCCCACCTGGTCCACGCAGGTGCCGTTGTTAAAGCACTTAGGGCTCCGGGACACGGGGTCGACGGGCGGGTTGCAGTCGTCCACGTTGATCTCGCAGTGCACACCTGCGGGGCCAGGCGCCATCAGGGGCCCGTGCTCACCACACCCCAGCCCTGCCGAGCCCCGTGTCCCTCCCAGATGACAAGTGCTGTGGTCTGGGGCTGCATGGACGCTCGGCAGAGGCAGGTGCCGAGGGTGCAGGGGAGACGTCTTTGCCGCTGGGATCCCCCGGCTCTGGGCCCCTTCCCCGGGCAGCTCTGCACTGGCCTTGGCCTCACAGGAAGATGGGAGTTTCTGGGCGGTTCCTGGATACCCCTGGCTGATCTCGAGGTGCCTGCCCTGCCCCCGCCCTGGCCCTGGCCGCCCAGATGCCAGCCCTCCATGCAGTGGCCCTTACCCTGCGTGCCCCGTGGGCAGGAGCACTTGTAGGTATTGGGGAGGTCGAGGCAGGTGCCCCCGTTCTGGCAGGGATGGGACAGGCACTCATTGATCTCCTCGGAGCAGTTCACCCCGTGGTAGCCGGCCACACACTGTGTAGGTGAGAGAACCGGGGGCTCAGCCCGCGCCAGGATGCGGCACTCCCGCACTCCACTGTGAGGGCTGGCAGGGCCACATGAGCTACCCTCAGTCCCCCTTGCTCCTGTCAGACCTGGAGGGAGAACGCCCCCGCCCCTCACCCTCAGCAGACCCTACAGCACTGTCTGATGGGGCTAGGTGGACCCCGTCCTGAAGGATAGAGGTGAGGGCCTCTGGGTAAGTGCTGGCCAAGCCCAGATAAAATCTCGGGGAAGAACCCCCTCCCACTTCTCAGCATATTCACCCTCCTTCGGGCTCTCCACAGGCCACCTCTTCCAGGAAGTCTACCCTGATTACCCCAGCTCTCCCTTAACGATCCTGGACAGTGTGTGGGCCTATCAGCTTTTCTCCCCTGTGCCAGCTCCCAGTCAGGATCTGGTGTGTGGCAGCACCGGTGCTGGTCACAACCCCCACTCTACAATGGGGTCCCCACCTTGCAGGAGTAGCCGCCCAGATAGTCAGTGCAGGTGGCCCCATTCTGGCAGGGGCTGGGTGAGCACTCGTCCACCAGGTCCTCACAGTAGCTACCCGTGTAGCCCGCCTGGCAGCGGCAGTGGTGTGTGTTGCCGGCGTCCACACACAGCCCCCCGTGCTGGCACAGGCGGGCAATGTCAACACCTGCAGGGGATGGGGTGGGGGGCAGGTGAGGCCCAGGCCTACGCAGGACCTCGGTGGGCCAGGACCCGGTTGGTTGGGCACAGGAGGTTACCTTGCCGCTGGGCAGCCACCTCACATGAGACGCTGGGCACGTCGCAGTATAGGCCGGTCCAGCCACTGGGGCACTCGCAGCGGTACTGGGTGTGGGTCTGCCAGCATTTGCCCCCGTTCTTGCAGGGTGAGGAGTCACACCAATGCACGAGGTTCTGGGGACAGGCTGAGGTCAGCCACGTGCCTGCCCTCCCGGGCCATCCCTCCAGGCCACCCCCTAGGCCAACCCCCAGCCTTCCAGGCCACCCCCCAGGCCATCCCCCTGGGCACCCCCAGGCCATGCCCCCAGGCCACCCACTTCCCAGTTCAGAATGCATATCCGCCAAGGAGCCCCATTCCAACCCGTCCCACAGCCCATTCTACAGAAGCGGAAACTGCGGCTCCTGGATTCCCCACCACCCCCACACCAGGACCAGCTGGGCTGGGTCTCCCTCAGGGCCCTCAGCAGGTCCAGACCACCCTCGGCCTCTGCTCAGAGGAGCGTGTTTCCTCAATTCCCTAATTCCCGAGCTCCCGCCCTGGCTGCCGAAACCCGGGATTGAAACCAAGACGCCTGCTGCTCCCACATCAGATTCCCTCCCTGGCCACTCAGATCCCCAGGAGCCCTCCTCCCAGGGGTGCGGGGGTCCCGAGCCAACACAGCGGGGCCTGGGGGTGACCGTGACCGTTCCCCGCAGGCAGGCACCCCCCACCCCGGGCCCTTCTCGGGCACCTGTGGCCGCGCGCTCACCTGGCAGTTGGGGCCAGTGTAGCCTTGGGGGCAGGTGCACCTGTAGGAACCGCAGCTGTCCTGGCAGGTGCCGCCGTGCAGGCAGGGCTGTGAGTCGCACTCGTTGACGTCGTGCTGGCAGTAGCTGCCCGTGAAGCCGGGTGGGCACAGGCAAGTGAAGGAGTTGATGCCGTCCACGCAGGTGCCACCATTGAAGCAGGAGCTGCAGGCAGGCGGGGGCTGAGCGGGAGGCACTGGTGGGTCCTCGCTGGAGCAGACCCTACCTCGCCTCCGCTCAGCTCTGAGGGGCCTAATAGCCAGGACAGACCCAGAGCAGCCTGGCTGACCCAGGGAGGCCAGCGGGAGCCTGGGGCCCGGCTCTCACACCAGGTCATGCCTCCCTGCCTGCCTTTATGTCACGTCAGGAGGAGCTTTGCTAAGCACACAACAGTAGAGCGGTTAAAGTCAGAATGAGGGAGAAACCAGAACCTGTCCCAGCAACACGGGAGGTGACTACGTCAGACACCAGGAGCGACAATGATTTTACCACTGAGCTTCCTGGCAACCACAGCAAAAAGAAGACAAGAGTGACAGTTCTCGCCGTTGGTCACGACTACTGGGGTTCCTGGCGCAGGACACACGTGGAGATCACAACAGCCCTCTTGGGAGGGACGTGTCGGTACAACAAAGTGTCTGGACTCAGTGCCATGGCGCTAAGTGGCCACTGGGCCTGGGCGGATGCCTGCTCGGGGTGCCAGGCTGGCAGCGGCTGCACGCCCCACAGCGCCGTCTCCTCCCCAGCCTCCCGCAAGCCCCGCGCACCTCTCCGTGCAGTCGGGAGTGTTGTTCTCACAGTGGATCCCACTGAAGCCCGCGGGGCAGGTGCACGTGTAGCTGTCCACGCAGTCCGTGCAGTTGGCCCCGTTGCGGCAGGGGTCGCTGGCACACTCGTTGATGTCCTCCTCACAGAAAGTGCCCTGGAAGCCGGGCAGGCAGTCGCAGAAGGCCGTGTTGACACCGTCTGTGCAGGAGCCGCCATTGTGACATGGATCTGGGAGGCGATGGAAGGGGCCGTGTGAGGGGCAGGCACAAACCCGCACCTGTGGGAGAGGCTGGGAAGGCTGCGAGGCTGGGGACGGCCCAGCTCTTTGGGGCGGAGGCTGCGGCCAGCCGCCCCAGGACAGAGATGTCTGGTGGGGAGTCCCGGCGCCCGCAGGCTGAGTCATCCGGTGTCCTGTGCTTGGGGTCTCCTCTCCCCACCTGCTCCTGTCCTCACGCCCCAGGACAGGGGACGGCTTCGAAGGCCTCACACACTGAGCAGGGGAGGGTGACAGTTCTTGCCCCTGCATTCGGGGGACGCCAGCAAGACCCCCGGCTTCTGCGAACCTCAGCCTCTGTAAAGCAGAGCTGGGAGGCCTCATAAGGCCCAGGTGTGGGTGCAGGCCGGGCCCTGTGCCAGCCTCAGCTCAGGGAAGAGCCATGGGAGGAATCATCGTGACTCCTGTGCCACCCGGCTGGGAAGCGCGGGGAGGGGCGAGGGGCTAGAAGCTGGGCAGCCGGCCCTGGGGTCCTCCTGAACCAACCAGGCCACCCCTCAGCACATCCCCACACCTGGCCTGGCCCTCCCAGCCACACTCAGGCCTCCCTGGGCGCTTACAGCCAGTGCCATGAGCAGCAACCCTGCCCAGGCAAACTGAGGCCCGAGAGGTCCCCAGAGGCGCCTGAGCTGCGGCACTCACTGGGCCGGCAGTCGTCAATGTCCGTCTCGCAGTTGCGCCCGCTGTAGCCGGCCTGGCACTGGCAGCGGTAACCGCCCTGGGTGTTCTGGCAGGACGCCCCGTGCCGACACGGGCTCTTCACACACTCGTTGATGTCCACCTCACAGGTCTGTCCTGCAGGGCGGGAGGGGCCGGTCGGTCGCTCACCAGCAGCTCCCCAGCCCTCCAGGCCCTTCGCAGGCGGGCCCGCCTGGGTCCTCGGGCCTCTCCCAACCCCCAGAAGTTGGCCTCTGTGGCCCCAGGACCATCCTTTCTCCCGATTTTGACCTAAGGTCACAGGAACTCGAGTTGGGAAGGGCACTCCGGGGTGGATTCCTGACTCCAGAGCTTCTCCGACCAGGGCCCCTCTCCAAAGACTCGTCCAGCCTGCCTGGGAGCTGCCTGTGTCCCGCAGACGTCCTGACCTCCCGTCCCAGCCCCGCCGGGTCCTGGCCAGCCTCACCTTGCCAGCCTGTGGGGCAGACGCAGGAGAAGCTCTCGTAGTCCTCAGATTCCCTGCACTCCCCGCCGTTTCTGCAGGGGCTGGGGGCGCATGGGGCCAGCACCACCTCACACGTGGTGCCTGCGGGAAAGAGACACGCGTGACCTCAGGGCCTCACCCAGAGGGATCTCCCAAACGAAGGCCATCCGGCCGCTGCCTGCTGGCCTTTCCACCATCAGAGCGCTACTGGTTGTTTCTGCGGGGAGGCAAGTGCACGCCAGGACCCCCGTGCACTCCCCACTGTGCCTGAACCCTAACCAGGGGAGAAGCGGAGCACAGATGGGGGATGCTGAAGACAAACTGCACAAATGCCACGCTCAGAAGCCACCCCTCGTTCCTGGTCAGCAGCGGGCCTCACCCCGCCACGAGCGCCCAGGAACAAGGACTGCACCAGGAGAGGCGGCCTCACCCTCGTGGGCTCCACCACACTCCAGGGACCTGGGCCCGCCCCTGACGCCAGACCCCTCCTCATCTCCCGGTGGCAAGGAAAGGCCCTGGCCTGAAACCAGTCCTGGGACTGGGTGTCACAGGTGGCAAACACCTGTCACAGGAGCCTGACGAACGAGGGCTGTGATGGAGGGGGCAGGCCCCCAGCACATCGTGCATGTCAAAGGCCTCGGGCACAACCTGGGGAGCTCTGGGACCACGCAGCGTGTCTGGCAAAGACCGTGTGGGAACCACGTGCGCCCCCGAGTGCCTTTTTCTGCACAGCCCCATGGCCGAGCTTCCTGTTTACAGCCGTGGGGACCGCGTTATCTTCTCCGCCCCCCATTATCTCCCCGGCCTGCTGGGGCGACTTTCCAGGGCCTCTCTTCCTATTGGTTTCCACGGCGACCTGGGCAGGCAGGAACTGCGCCAGAGTTTCCGACAATTGTGCAAAAGGAAGCAGGAAGCAGGCAGATAGGAAGCGGGTCAGCACTGCCGCGCCTCCTGCCGGCCCGATCGATGTGTCCAAAAGGGACAGGGGCGCCCGGCCGCGGAGGGAGGGTCCTCACTGACCGACATGGGAGAGAAAATCCAGGTCCCTAACTTCAGTCAAAGAAAACAGTGTTCTGGCCACCACAGGCTGCTGGATGTCACGGGAACCGCAGGCGTGGGAGCTCCAGCCCGGCCGCCCGGCCCAGGCAGGCTCACCCTGACCATGCCCCATGGCAGCACCCTCTGCCGGTGCCCACGGAGCCCCAGGACCCTGGTGCTTGTGGACTGTTCTTTGTCTTTTCTAGAGGAATCATTTCCTGTGGTCCCCTTGGCTGGGTTAACGGCAGGGGCCGGACAGTTGGGGAAACTTCCCCCTCCTTGCTCAGCCCAAACAGAGGGCTCCTTGTTCCCGGTACACAAAGAGGGCCCGCCGTCAAAGGAATCCCTCAGGCCCGGCTGGCGGGGGTGGGGAAGCCGGCCCCCAGAGGCCCCCAGCAGGGTGGGCGCTGGGAGCGTGAAGGCCAAGGGCCCAGGCCCAGCCCCTCTAACTGTTCACCTGTGTCCTGGGGCAGGCCTGCCAGGCAAAACACACGCTTACACGAAAAGTTTCTCCCAGGCATCCTGTATTTTTGCTAACTTGCCAAGACCACCTCCAGGGCAAGGCCCACATGCTGCAGGGGCCTAAGGCACTCAGTAAGGAGCAGAGCCTTCCAGAAGGCCCAGCCCCAAGAAAGCACCACTTTACCGTGCAGTCACGGCTTCCCAGGCCAGGCTGTCCCCACCCCTGGCCCCACCAGCTCCAGCACAGGCCCCGCCCCTTCTAGCACAGGCCCCGCCCTCTCCAGCGTAGGCCCCGCCCCTCACCTGTGTAGGGCAGCGGGCAGTTGCACTTGTACCCGGCAACGTCATCAATGCACGTGCCCTGGTTCAGACACGGGTTGGACGCACACTCGTTGATGTTGGTCTGGCAGTTGGGGCCTGGAGGGAAGGGACAGCGCTCGGCATGTCGGGCAGCCCAGGCACCTTGGCAGGGCCCCGAAACAGCAGCCTTGGGCCTGCTCCCGTCCCCCCGCCACGCCCCGAGTCCCCGAGAGCCGGCAGCCTGGAGCTAAGGCTTTGGCAGTGGAGGGAGACACCATGCAAGGCGCTAGCTGGACCCGGGCCGATCCTGGGCCTGCAGCTCCCCTGGCTCGCGGGCCTCCCTCCGCACAGGAGTGCCCAGCCCGCTCACCGCTGAAGCCCTCCCGGCACGTGCACACGTAGCCGCCGGTCATGTCTCTGCAGGTGCCGCCGTTGACGCAGGGGTTGGACTCACACTCGTTGTTGTTGATGTCACAGTTGGTCCCGCTCCACCCAGGGTCACAGTCGCACTTGTACCTGGACGGGGGACCACACCGCAGGCTGAGGGGGGCCCGGGCAGTACGGCCGGGGTCTGGGCACTCCTGGCTCCGCAATGACCAGGGGCTGGCGGAGGTGCTCGTCCTCTCAGACCCGCAGGGTCCTTCCGTGGGGGCGGGCCGAGTGCAGTGGCTCAGGCCTGTGATCCCAGCACTTCGGGAGGCCATGGTGGGCGAGCCACTTGAGGCCAGGTGTTAAGAGACCACCCTGGCCAACGTGGTGAAACACCCCCCACCCCAGTCTCTAGTAAAAATACAAAAATTCACCCAGTGTGGTGGCACATGCCTGTGGTCTCAGCTACCTGGGAGGCTGAGGCAGGAGAATCACCTGAACCTGGGAGGTGGAGGCTGCAGTGAGCCCTGTACTTCACCCCTGACAACAGAAGCTCTGTCTCAGAATAAATACAGTGGGGACCACAGTGCTTCCCACACCCAAGGCTGTGGCAGGGGTGTGGCTCATTAGTGAGGGGACAAGGCCGAGTGCAAGGCAGTGGCTGTGACAGGCCCCCACCACTTGCCTGCTCTGCGGCCCCGAGCAAAGCACGTGCCTTCTCTGTGTCACATGAGGGCAATGGGGTCCCTGCTGAATTAAATGGCCCCATCCAGGCAGAGTGGTGCGGGCACATCATGGCGTCAGAATCACTCGCCGCTGTCACCATGCAAACGTGTTTCCGGGGTCACTTTGGGCCTGTGTCCTGAGCCTACCACGTAGCCCATGGGGACGCTAGGTGCAGAGGTGCTGGGTGTGGGCTGCTGGCCGACTGAGGGCCCCTAGGCGTGCACATCCCCGAGGGGTGCTCCCTGCCGTCCGACCCGTCCAAAGCCCGTTTCCGGCCCATCCCGACCCCAAGAGGTGCCACCCTCCCGGTGGCAGAGCTCCCCGGGTTCGGGACTGGCGTGTCCCCACGACCGGCCCCTGGGCATACCCGTTGAGGCCATCCCGGCAGGCCCCGTGGACGCAGGGGTTGCTGTTACACTCGTTGACCTCGGACAGGCAGGTGGGGTCATGGTAGCCCTCGGGGCAGCGGCAGGTGAAGCCGTTGACGCGGTCCTCGCACGTGCCGCCGTTGTGGCAGGGGCTGCCCGCACACTCGTCGATATCGATGTTGCACATACTCCCTGCGGCCGGCAGGGGTGTGTCAGACTTCGAGGCCCGGCGCCCAGGACTCCCACCCACGTGGGCCTTGGTCTCCCAGGCTGCTAAGCCAGGACGATCACCCTTCTGGCCTTGTCCTTCCAGGTGTCAGAAACCATCTCAGGTCACAGCGTGCCCTGTGCCAGCCTCCTCGGGCACCAGGGTCCACCCACTCAGGTCATCCTCCAGGGGCCCCAGGGACAAGGGCTGCTGTGGCCCTGACTGATGAGAACCTGAGGCCCAGGGAGGCAGAGGGACCTGCTCAGAGGCACTGGTGAGCCACAGAGGCAGGTCCCCAAGCCTGGCCTCAGGGCTGGCGCTCCCTCTTGGCCTGCGGGGCCACCGTGCCAACACAGCTCAGGCCCGCCCTGACCAGGGACAAGAGGTATGTGGGGGCCTGGTGTGGTGCCGGCTGTAGTCCCTCCCCTGGTGCTGTCTCTGCCGCAGACCACAGTCCGCCCAGTGGGCGGCTCTGCACCGGGCCCTGGCCATCTCCAAAGCCCCCAACCCAACCCCTTGGCAGCCCCGGGGGCACAGCCCGGCCTGCCCCCAGGCACAGGGCCACTCACCCGTGTAGCCCGGTTCACAGGCACACTCGTAGCCGTCAATCTTGTCCAGACAGGTGCCCGAGTCGCAGGGGCTGCTGGCACAGTCGTCCAGGTTGACCTCGCAGTTGGGTCCTGCAGGGGTGGCACGTGACGGTCAGTTCCTGGGCCCGCCCTGCCCGCTGGCCACCAGCCTGCCCCCGCCCGGCTGGCCACCTGTGGTCCCCTTCAGGCAGAAGCAGAGGTAGGCGTTGTCGCGGTCCTGGCAGGTGCCCCCGTGGCGGCAGGGCTGGCTGGAGCACTCGTTGATGTTGGTCTCGCAGTGGTGGCCCGTGTAGCCCGGGCGGCAGAGGCAGGTGAAGGTGGCGACGCCGTCCTTGCAGGTGCCGTAGTGACAGGGGTCGGGGTCACACTCATCAATGTCCACCTCGCAGTGCATCCCCGTGTACCCTGGACCGCGAGAGGGGTGGGCACAGGAGGACTCAGGGCTGGCTGCTCCCAGGACACCTGCGACCGGACCTGGGGTCGCCTGTGCCCATCCGAGGAAGCCTCCGGGCATGTCTTCTGTCGAGGGGCACTCCCACCCACCCAGGATTGGGGCTGAGCTGTGCTCCCGGTCTCTGAACCAGGTGGCCCAGAGCGAGGTGTCCTTGACCTTGTCAGCTTCCCAGCCCTGAGTGCCCTCTCCCCTGTACCCTGTCCCTCCCCGCGGGTGGGCGCCGGCCTGCACCTTCTGTGCACACGCAGGTGTAAGTGTTGGGTCCGTCCAGACACTTGGCGCCATTCTTGCAGGGGGTGCTGGCACACTCATCCACATCATACTGGCACAGGTGCCCAGTGAAGCCTGAGGCCAGGGAGAAGAGAGAGTCATACGCTACAACACCGTGGCCCTTCAGGGACCCCTGGCCGGACCCCAGCAGTGAGCGCCTGGCTGGGCTCCCCTGGGCACACTCAGCTTGGGCTCAGCCAGCCCCAGGCTCTCCCTGCCTCCCACGCTTGCCCGCCCGACCCCCAGATCAAAGCCCCTCCGCCAGCCCCGCACGCCCTCACTCCCACAGAAGGGGCCTTTTTCCCAAACCGACTGGGTTGCTATGGCTACGGTGGAGCCGGGCTGAGAATGGGGCTCCCCTCGCTCCCATGTCTGGGACAGCTAATCTACGTCTCGGGAGGCCTGGGCTTGGGCCGGCAATACTTCCCTGGGCTCTGGGCTCTGTGCCCCCAGCCCTGGGACAGATGGAAACACCTTTCACCCAGGCCTCCGACAAGCTCCTCCGAGTCCGCCCTGGACAGCCACCGTCCCCATTGCAGGCCAGCCTTCCCCACTTGGTTCCCTGCATACCTTGGCTGTGCAGCTGGCGTGCGGTTGGGCAGGGGACATGGCAGGCTGGCCTCCCTCCCAGCCCTCAGAGCACCAGGCTGGAGCCTCCTCCCTGTCTGGGCACCGCAGCCCCTGCTACAGCCCTCTCTCCAGGCAGGAGGGGCTGCACCAGATCAAGGGGGGGTCTCCAGGCCTGGGCTCCACCACGACCCTGGGGCGAGCTCCCACTCACCCCCCGCCAGGCCTTGCCCTTCAGGGAAGCCTGAAAACACACCATCCACTCATGAGGCAAACCCCTCACCCTCCGGGCAGCCAGAACGCAACCCCATGGCCAGGCACCCCTCAGGAGAGCGGGCCCAGCCCAGGCTGGGGTGCAGACGGCCCGGGGCAATGCCAGGGCCAGGCAGGGGCGGCGCTCACCCATGAGACACTCGCACTGGAACTCATTGATCTTGTCCAGGCAGCGGCCGTTGTGCAGGCAGGGGCTGCTGGCACACTCGTCTGTGTTGACTTCACAGTGCGTGCCCTCATAGCCTGCGGGGTGGGGGAACGGTGAGGGGGGCATGAGCGGCCCCAGTGCCCCACTGGGCACAGCTGGGGACTAGGGGCGGAAACCACGCCCACCTCCAGCCCAGTAACCCAGCCACCGGCCCCCCATGCACCCGCTCCCCTGCGGCCCCCCGGCCCGGCACCCTCTACCTAGCTCTGCTCCCGTGCTCTGCTAGTCCTGTGGCCTGGTCTCAGTTTCCCCATGCCCCGTGCAGGCTGTGGGCCCAGAAGGCATGCAAGGGAACGCGTCCCACAGATGCTCCCAGGCTGCCCCTCCAAGGCTGCCCAGGCCTGACTCGGTTTCCCGCCCCGGCCCTGGCAGACACACCGGGCATGCAGATGCACTGGAACTCCCCGATCTGGTCCAGGCAGGTGGCATCGTTCTGGCACGGGTTCGAGACGCATTCGTTGACATCGATCTCACAGCGGGGGCCCGTGTAGCCCTGCAGACACTGGCACTCGAAGGAGCCCAGCGTGTTGATGCATTTACCCGCATGCTCGCAGGGGTTGGCACCTGGTGAGGGCACATGAGTGAGAGGCTGCACAGGCCCCCTGGCCCGTATGCTACCTCGCTGCACACCCCCCCACCCATCAGACTGGCAGGGTCCCATCCCCTGTCCAACCGGTCACCCCTGAAGCCAGGATCGTCCCACTGGTTCTGGGTCCATGCTGCCACCCCCTCCTGGCCACACCCCCTGTGTTGGCACCTACCCAGAGAGCACTCGTCCACGTCCTGGCTGCAGGCCGGGCCCGTGTACCCCGAGGGGCAGGTGCAGATGGCCTTGCCGTTGACGGGGTTGGTGTCGCAGTTGGAGCCCTCGTTGCAGGGGTTGCTAATGCACGCATCGTTGAGGTGGCACAGCAGACCTGGGCGGGCGGCGGCCGTCAGTGGGCACGGACCCTGGGCCGGGCACGGTGCACCACCCACTGCTGGGGTCTGTCCTCACTGACACCCGGGAGAAGCTGCCCGCCATGACCCCATCAAGCATCCCGGGACCCTCGAGATGTTTCGGGAGACTCATGGCGACCACCGGCCATGGTCCCGGACCAGAAAGGCCCTTTTGGGTTATCCTGGACGCCAGGGGGCCACAGCCCCTGGGTGATGTCGCACAGGTCAGGCCTGGCCCACGTGAGCCCCCCCGAGCCCACCTGGGCCTCAGGGCACCCACCTGTGCGGCCGTGGGGACACTCGCAGTAGAAGGAGGCCACGCGGTCGTGGCAGGTGGCGCCGTGGAAGCAGGCGGCGCTGGCGCAGTCGTCAATGTTCTCGCTGCAGTCCTCGCCCGTCCAGCCGTTGACGCACACACAGTTGTAGCCGCCGTGGGTGTTGTGGCAGGTCCCTCCGTTCTGGCAGGCGTTTGGCATGAGCTGGCACTCGTCCACGTCCTCAGTGCAGTACTGACCTGCAGGGGACACAAGCTGTCGGCCCCGGGCAGCTGCCACTACCTGAGCTCCTTGTCTTCCAAGACACAGGGTGGCAATGCCACCCCCTCCAGGAAGCCTTCCTGGGCTGACTCCTCTCCCACTGCTAGCCTATAAATCGCTCCTTCCTCTGCACACCCAGCACCATGAGGGGTTCCTGCCTCCTCTTCCTGCTCTGTGGACTCAGCTGCATCGGGGTGCAGCTTTGCCCATCCCCCCACCAGAGGGCAATCCCAAGCGCAGGGCCTCTGTGCCAGCCCAGGCGTCGCGGCCTGAGTGGGGTGCTGAAGGCCCTCGATGCCAGGACAGCATGCTGGGCCTAGGGGCTGCCTGCAGCCAGACCGCAGTCGGCCCACATAGACCAGCCAGGGCCCTGTCCGTGCTGACCCCGAGGCGAGTGGCGTCAGACCCTGGCCACGGGAAGCGGGGCCCCCCATCATGTCCTTCTCGGCCAACCCCGGCCTGCCTGGCCTGGGACAGGGTCTCGTCCGCTCCCCACCACGCCTGTGCGTGCGGTTGAGTAAGTGGGTGGCCCCGCCCCGTGTACGCGCCTGTCCACTCTGGCGGGCAGCGGCAGTTGTAGGTGTTCACGCCGTCCACGCAGGCGCCCCCGTTCTTGCAGCTGTTTTCTGCACAGTCGTCGATATTCTCCTCGCAGTTCTGGCCAGTGAAGCCTGCGGCAGGAGGAGCCGGCTCAGCCTCTTCCCTGAGGTCCAAGCCCGGGCTGCCTGGACCGCGGCCACACGGCTCTGACACAACAGCCTGCCCCCCACAGCCCTGCCCTGGGGCTCCAGGGTCTGTGCCTGTCCCCTGCCTCACCCCAGCGCCCAGAGGGACATGCCCTGCTCTAGAGAATCATTTTGTACAAGGCGGGCTAACCAGACAAGGACTCAAGAACACAGGGTTCCAGAAGACTCCGTCACAACCACCCTCGGGTCTCTCAGAGTATCCGGAGGCTCTTGCACCTGGGTGCCGCCTGCATGCTCAGAGCTCCCCACAATGTCCCACCAAGGTGGCACGCACCCATCTTAGGGGGCAGACACTGGGGCCTGGGAGGGCCTCTGAGCAGCAGGGACGTGGCCGGGAGGCGGCTGGCTGGGGCAGGCTGGGCTCCTGTAGCCCCGGGGAAGCTGCTGAGACTCAGATGGCCCAGCCACCCTGGGGCCGAGCTCTGGTACCCACCTCCTCCTGCCCCTCCTCCTCCGAAGGCTGCTGTGCCCCCTCCCCTGAGGCGCAGCCCCACCCAGGCCTCCAAGGCAGCCAGTTAGCCATTAATCCATCCGACTCGCACTGGTTCAATGATCAACCCAGACAGGCGTGTTCGGCAACAGCCAAACCTGCAGCCGGTTACTAATTGACGCCTCCTGAGGCGCCTTTGAACCCCCTGCCCTCGGAGCACCCACCTGCTGGGCCCCACCCTCTGAGACATCGCTTCCACCGCCACCCCTTCCGCTGGACCGGAGCAAAAACAGGCGGCCAGGGCAACCACAATCCAAACTGCAAGTCAGCTGGGAGAGGACCCAAAATCAGAGCCCAGCCCTGGCGCGGTGGCTCACGCTTGGAATCCCAGCACTTTGGGAGGCTGAAGCGGGCGGATCACTTGAGCCCAGGAGTTCAAGACCAGCCCGGACAACATGGCGAAAACCTGTCTCCACAAAAAAATACAAGAAGTAGCAAAGCACAGTGGGGTGCGTCTGTGGTCCCAGCTACTTGGGGGGCTGAGGCGGGAGGACCGCTTTAGCCTGGGAAGTTGAGGCTGCAGTGAGCTGACAGCGTACCACTGCACTCCAGCCTGGGTGACAGAGACCCTGTCCCCCCACCAAAAAAACAACAACAAAAAAAATCAGAGCCTGGAGCCTGAGTCCTGGTCCCTACCCATGCGTAGGACCCTGCGCCCCGGGGAGGGGCCTAGCTGTTAGGTGGGTGGGCTCCTGGCGAGGCCTGCGACCCGGGACTGCCCTGCACAGCGCTGGCTGAGGAACACAGTGGGCAAGAGGGAAGGGAAGCCAGCTGGCCTCTCTGCGATGAGGCCTGGGCAGCATCCTCCCGGCCAGAAGTGGAGCTCATGAGGAGACGTGCTGCTGTGCCCAGCAGGCTGTGTGAGTCCCCGTCCCAGTCAGCTCCCGGGCCTGCAGGGCTCAGGGCTGTCCTTGCCTCGGTTCCCAGGGACTCCACACACTGGTGTCTCCAGGGCTCCCTGACCTCCCAGAAGAGGCTGAGGGCCCCTCAGGGCCTGGGTGCAGGGGCCGCCTGGCAGAGTCTGAAGCTGGGGTCTGGCTGGCCCGAGTCATTTGGGGAGGCCCCCTGGATGGTCATCTCACCCTGAAATGGCCAGACCCCACATAGGGCAGTGAGCACAGCTCTCACTGGAGGGGTGACCCAGCCCTCAGCACCCCAGCCTCTGAGATCTGCCTGCTCTCAAGAGAGTAAACCCCAATAGCCCTCCCCTTCCCTCCTGGCCACCCCTCATGGCCCTGAGCTGCCCCTGCCCAGGCAGCGGCTCTGAGAGGGCCCAGTGCCCCTGGCATCTGTGCCCCTGGCATCTCCACCACTGGGCCTCACCAGGAGGTCCTCACCCACCCTGCCCCAGGTGAGTGGGTGTCAGCTCTGCACGCAGGTGGCCTCGGACAAGGCCACACACACCCGACCTACCCTGGTCTGAACTGCAGCCCCTTGAGGGCTCAGCCCCTCAGCCTGGGCGGCTGGAAGTAGGGTCCCATGGCTGCTACAAAGCCCCTGAACCCCAGCAGCAGAAAGGCTCTGCGCCCCTCTGCAGAGATCCCAGATCCAAGCTGGCCAGCTAGTGCCTGTCCCCACCCCACGCTCACCCAGTGACTTGCAGGAAATGCACAGGCCTGGTGTCTGCACGCAGAGGGGGCTGGGCTCAGCTTACTGGGCAGCCGGGAGCTTCCCCTTTGTGGGGCCAGGCCAGCTTGGGGCTGGGCAGGGAGTGGGGGAGCCCTTGGGTCACCCATGGGCCTCCAGGGCCCTGTGCACCCCCAGCCGCACCCCTGCCTGAATGCCCTCCCCCCGTTCCCACCTATCCACCATTCTGAGCAACTGAGGCAAAAGGTTTTGAAACCTCTTCCCTTATTTTTAGAGCTGCTGCAAAATTTAGTCAAACCAGAACTACAGTAGACAAGCTGCTACATACAACACAGGGGTGGGGAGCCACTGGGGACATGGGCAGGGGCTGTGCCTGCCTGTCACCCCCCCGCAGGAGACCAGCAGGACAGCCTGAAGGGCCACGGCTCGGGGAAGGGAAGGTGCAGCCCGCAGCCCCACACCCCTCCCGCCTACAGCCCCACACCCTGCCCCCCCAGCTCCACACCCCTCCCGCCCCAGCCACACTCCAGGGGAAGCCCGGGGGTTGCGCAAGTCAGGGTGCCCGCAGTGGGGGAGGTGTCCTACAACTCAAATGTGAGCTTCAGGGAACTCGAAAGACAGGAGGTGGCACCTGGACCCCGTGCAAGCCTCCTCCCAGCGCACACCGCGCTCCAGACACACCCCTAACACCTCACGAAGTCTGGGGAACCCACCAGCTCCACCTTCCCAGTTCTGCACCATGGGCCCTCCCAGGGCTCCCATGCACCAGGCACCCCCGTTCCGGTCCCTCAGGCCTGGCCGCGGGGGAGGGACTCGTGCACCCCAGCCGCTGGGCAGCACTACCTGGCAGGCAGGCACACTCGTGGGTAGTGTCGCCGGTGGGGCGGCAGGTGCCCCCGTTCTGGCAGGGCGAGGGGCTGCAGGGCACGTAGGGCCGCTCGCAGTTGGGGCCGGTGTGCGTGGCTCGGCAGGCGCAGTGGTAGGAGCCGACCTCGTTGTGGCAGGTTCCTCCGTGGCGGCAGGGCCCGGGGTTCTGGCTGCACTCGTTGACATCCTGCCGGCAGGTGGGGCCGTGGAAGCTGGGTGGGCAGTGGCAGATGTAGGAGGCATCGAAGGGCAGGCACTGGCCGCCGTTGGCGCAGGGGTTGGAGGCGCACGGGTCAGCCTGCTGGCACGATTTCCCTGGGGACAAAGGGACAAGAGGGTCATGCTGGCCTCCCTGCTCCCCGAGGCCCGCCTCCCCTCCCTTCAGGCCCTGGGAGGTGCTGGCCTGGGTTCCACCTTAGGCGCCATCTCATTTGATCCTCAGGGCCTGCCATGAGACTGGTCGCCTGGCAGATGAAGGACCACAGGTCCCAGGAGGCCAAGTGACCTGCAAAGCCACACGGCGGGGAGGTGGGGAGAGGTGGCCTTGGCCCTGGGCCCGCACTGTCTCCTCCCAGAGCTGACACCCCCAGACACCCTTCACGCTAACAGGCGAGGGCCAGCGCACCGCAGGAGGAAGGGGGCAGGGGGAGCCTAGACATCGAGGCTCCCCTCGTCCTGCAGAAGCGGGGACAGCAAGGGTTGAGCCGGTGCCAGCAGCTGAAAACGAGGCTACTTGGGCTGGGAGGGGACCAGGGCCCCTGGGGCAGGGGCTGCAATGACTTCCAGGTCACAGGCCCAGGCCTGGGTCCTGCCAAGCAGCTTGAGCTGCGTGGACAGCTGGCAGTGGGCCTGGGCCTGCCCACCTGTCGGGCCGTGGGTCCTCCTCACCTGACCAGCCGGGTGGGCAGCGGCACTTGTACTCCATGAGCGTGAGCAGGTCGCAGGTGCCCCCGTTGCGGCAGGGGTTGGAGAGGCAGGCGTTGTCCAGGGGTGTCAGGCAGAGGGGCCCAGAGAAACCCAGGGGACAGCTGCAGACATAGTCCGCCACGCCTCCACGGTCCACCACGTGGCATGTTCCAGCGTTCTTGCAGGGGGTGCTGAGGCACGGGTTGGAGTCCTGGCATCGCAGGCCCACAAAGGCGCCGCCGCAGCTGTTGGCAGATGTGCCAGGGCGGTCAGTTCCCACCTGCTCCCCCAGCACCCCTGCCACTCGGCACCTGTTGCGGGCACAGCTGCCTCCCCGCACCCCAGCAGGAAGCGCAGGGGGCGCGGGTGCGATGTCTGCTTAGCAGGGCTCCCTCGGGGCTGGCAAATCTCTCTGGAGCTAGATAGATGTCATGGCTGCACAACTTTGGGAATGTACTAAATGCCAACGAAGGAGGCCGAGGCAGGAGAACTGCTTGAACCCGGGAGGCCGAAGTTGTAGTGAGCAGAGATTGCGCCACTGCATTCCAGCCTGAGCGACACGGCCAGACTCCATCTCAAAAAAAAAAAAAAAAAGACTGCTAATCAGGGGAATAAGCTACAGGCTAGAATATTCCAAGCTGGGTCCACAGCCCACTCAGGGGTCTGAGTCTACTCCCCCGGAGAGCCATGGAGAGGAGTTGTGCACACTGGCTCTGTAAAGCCTCCGGGTCGGCTTTGCTTGCCAGCTTTGCTACAGCAAATGGGCATTGTTTGGGCAGCAGCGAAGGTCGTGGTTCTCCCAGCCTTCAGGTATCAACATGATGGCAGCCATGGAAAGTGTGGACTGGCTTCCCGTGCCCCTTCCCATGTGGAAGCCTTTCTGATGGGACATCTCACGCCAAGACCACCCTGGCCACGCCGGCCAGCCTGTTCTCAGCCCACACTAGGCCCTGGACACATTTCTCTTTCTGCATCAAGTCTTCATAACACACACCCAGGCATGTCAGCTGGGAGCAGAAGCACCATGTTACAGCCGGGGAAACCGAGCTGCCATGAGGAGTGCCCGCTGCCAGGTCTCTGCAAACCTGTCCAGGTGTGCCAAAGGCCGCCCCTAGCCCTGAACACACCGTCCAGGCTCACACACAACAAGGGGAGAGGGAAGGGGTCCTGCTTCTCCACCAGGCCTGGCCTCACCTGTTGCCTGCAGCGACGGGCACAGAGCCTGCCCCCCCAGCTCCACGACCACCCGGCCACCTGCTGCAGTCATAAATCACCCGCCCCCGTCACCTCCTAGCCTTACGCTCCCAGGGAAGGTCTGGGACCAGCCTGGCGCCGCTCTTCCCAGTGGTGAAACCTCTGAAGTGGAACGAGCTCCTGGCCCCCAGCAACCCCAGCGGCCTGGGAAGGCTGCGGACCCACGGCTCAGGCCCTGCGTGCACGTGGCCTCCTCTGGATGGGACATACAGGCAGACAGTCCTGCCTCCCAGAGCCCACCTGGGTAGGGGGCTGCCGCGGCCGCCTACGCCTGCCCCAGCCCTGAGGCTGTGGCTGACAGCTTCACACGGGACCCTCAATGGCCGGCCAAGTCCTCGATGCCTCTCCCGCCCATTCCCACCCAGTGCCTTGAATCAAGCCTGTGATGTGAGTGACAGTGGCCTGGGGGGGGGGCCTTACCCCAGGGGCTTGTGGAGGCTGTTGGGGGTGGGGTCTGTGAGTTTCTCAGCAGCCAGCCACGCCCCTGTCCCAAAGGCCGGGAGGCATCTGTCTTCCCTAAAGGCCTTTATCTGTGGCCACAGCTTGGGTAGAGAGAAAGCAAAATGGCCACTCTGGCCGACCATCTGTTGCCACAAGCCAAAAGTCCCAAAGCAACTGGTTTAAAGAAAACACATCTCGCCCCTCCAAAGGGGCTCTGGGAGTTCACTCAGGTCTGGCTAGGGCTCCCGCCAGCCCAATGAGTGATGGGCACAGCCCTGGAATGAGGCTCCCCCCGTGTGGCCGGCCGCTCAGGGGCCCAGTGACAGACCGGCCTCTCTGCGCACCTGTGGGGAGGGCAGGCGTGGCCCCCGCTGCACGTGGATCTGGTTACAGGCTGGCCGGTCCCTGAGGCGGAGAGGCTGCTGGGAACCCGAGGAGCCCGAGGGCTGGGCCGGGCCACGGCCACAGGAGAGGCGCCCTCCCTCCACACAAATGCCCCATTGTCAGGCGCGATTTGGCCACAGCTCCCACTTGGAGAAAAGGTCCTTTTTTCTTTCCCAGCCGCTGACGAGGTCGGCAGGGGTGTGTGCAGGACAGAGGGCGCTCGGCCATCAAGGCCAGGCTGGAGCCTCCGACGGCCTGGCCGTGCAACCTAGGCGTCCTCTCAAGGCCCCGAGAAGAGAGAAAAGCTGACCGGCTGGGCAAGACAAGTGGGGGGCAGAGGGGCCTCCCCACAGATATAGGGGACTCCACGTGAGCTGCCCAGGGGGCCCCAGCCCCTAGAGCAGTCTCCCACCAAGCGTCCTGAGGTCACAGGACACTGGGTGTCCCCAAATGGACCACGACGCTCTGCCCGGACACCTGGCCCCACTCCCCACCCCGAGTGCGGACCCAGCGTGGAGGACTGTGGGAGAATCTGCCCCACCGGACACATCCCAGTTAACGAGGCGGGACCACGCCGGGCCAGCAGGAGGAAAACACGCCCCATAAATCAGGCGTCGGCGCTCGGACAAAGGGCACTGGGAGCAGGTGTCGGACGTGGCGGCAGCTGCTCCCAGCGGGCGGGGCAGGAGGCCTGAGGAGGCTCCCGTGGGGGAATGCAGGCTGAGAGGGCCCATTGTCCGCCCCCACGCTCAGCCTGGGCATCGGACTCCGAAGGGAAGGCGCCCGCCCCGGCCCCACAGCCACGGCCTGGAGGTGTTGAGGGATGGGGAGCTGGGCAGAGCCTGGAGGACACTCTGAGCTGGGTGTGGGGGCAGCTTTGGGGCAGGTCCCCCACTGTCACTACAGGCAGCCTCCAGCCTGGGCCCAGGATCTCTCCCACCTGGCTAGAGCTGGAGCATTTTACAGATGCCTGACACCTGCCCTCTGCACAGCAGCCACACGTCCCTGAGAAGGCGGGAGGGACCTCAGGCCTGCAGCTTGGCCAGGGCCAGGAACGCCAGCCTGTGACCAAACCCTTCTCGGCCCTGGCGCTGGCCACACCCCCAGTACTGTGGCCATGCTGTCTTCAACACTGTCCCAGTGGGCGGGTGGGTGTCAGCGAGAGGCAGGCGCCAGCGCTTGGCTGTTCGAGGTGGTATCCAGCAGCCCTCTCAGCCACGGGAAGCCCCACAGCGTCCACAAGTGACTCACACCCCACCTGCCACTGTCCCCACATCTCCTCCCATCAGGCGCAGTGGGGAGACCCTCCCGGGTCTAAAAGGCGGGGCTTCTTTGAGATAGGGAACACCAGTCTCCCCCAGCGGACGAGAGCTACCCTGTCCACCAAGTCATCCAGCTCCCACGGTGGGGACCCAGCCCATGCCAGGTATGTCCTGATGGGCTCCCCTTCCATGCGTCCCTCTTAGGGTCACCTGGCACCTGCCTGTCCCATCCCCTACTCTCAGTGTCCTGGCAGTCCTGGGGCAACCTGTTCTGTCTCGGCCCTGCAGGTAAGTGGTGGGCGGGGCTCCAGGAGGGCTTCGGGGGTGGGTGAAGGTGGGAGGGGAGGGTGCCAAGTGTCCCAGTGCCCGCCATGCCAGCACCACCGCCTCCACCACCACCGCCCGGCTTTGTTCCCACCTCAGTATTTCCACGGTGCCGCTCCCACCCTCCCCGCCGGGGCCGCTCCATAGAAATGCTGCAGGAGGCAGATGCTGCCTCGACCTTTCACCCGGGACTGATTCTAAATTGTGCTGCTTTCCTTTCTAAGCTAAGCGGCCATCTGCCACCCCCAGGGGACAGATGACAGTTCCCTCCGCCCCAAAATGAGAAGGAGGGGCCAGAGGGACTCCTTGGGGGCAGGGCTCACTCAGCTCCTACCCTCAAGGAGTTTATGGTCATGCGGGGCCAGGGATGGCGGGACAGGTGGAGGATGCGCAGAGGGTGGGGGTGTGGGGTCAGCTGGGCCTGAGTGAGCTGGGAGTCGGTGACATGGCCCTCACTGCCCCAGCAAGAGGAACCCGAGACCCTGGGGATGGGGATTCCCACAGCTCCACCAGGTGACAGCACCTGCCAAGGCAGGGAGGGGCAGGGATAGCGGGAGGCCTCTCTGGTGCACGGGAGCGGCATTTCCCAGAGAAGAATGGACAGCCTGCACGCCTCGGCTAGCTGGGAAGGGAAGGGGAGGAGCCACCGGCTGAAATCAGTGTCCAAACGCACCCCACCTGCCCTCAGCAGAGCCGCTGGGTGCAGCGGAGAACACAGGCCCAGCTTCACCTGCCCTCCTGGGGGCCTCCCGCCTGACCGTCAATCTCAGCCCCGCTTCCTGCTACAGAAGCCCAGGGGTTCCTTGGTAACAGTGTGACCCCTCACTGGGCAATAAAGGGGGGTGATCTCCTCCCCAGTCACCCCCAACAGCTGCTGCTCCCAGGGAGCCCATGGCCACATCCTGCAGGAGCCCATGCTGAGCGGCCCGGCCTGGGGTGCCCCACCCCCAGCTCTCCCTGGGACCCCTCCCCTCACCAGCAGGACCTGCCCCAGTCTCAAGGGGCTCTGCCCAGCAGGGCTCTACGGCCTCGGCACCTGCTCCTGGGCTGGCACCCAGATCCTGCCATGCTCTGCTAAGACCCAGCAAGGCTAGCCGCCTTTTACCTGCACCACGGACAGTGGGCCTCACACCCGGCAACCCCGGCGCACAGGCAGGCCCTCCCATCCACCCGCCTGGGCAAATGGGACCACGTGTGGACTGGCCGGGGGCGACACTGTAACCCTGTACTGGAGGGGGGGAGACAAGGCCAGACCCAGGGGGGTGGATGCTTCCCCAGGCAGGCCCCCATGAGGCCAGCTCTAGCCCGGACCAAGGCTTCTGGGTGGGGTGAGTCCTGAGACCTCAGCCCCTCACTTGGGCAAAGGCTGGTCCAAGTTCCCCACATCCCAGTGAGCACCACCCACCTTCCAGGAGGCACGGGCAGCTAAGACATGAGCTGGGCAGGGCCTTGGGGGCTCCCCCGGGATCCTGTCCTGCCGGAACAGCTGAGTAGCGCAGCCCTGGGGGATGAAGGAGCCTCGGGAAGATGCCAGAGCCTCACCGCTCACAGCCCCTTCCCCGGTCTCCCCAGAGGCCCTA